TTGTCAGTGCAGAAAGTTATCGATGATGATATTCGGATGTTGCAAAGCGAGAGACCACAAAATTTAATTACATCGTTCCAGGTTTAACTTGACGATACGCAGTCCTGTTTGGAAATGCTTTGTTTTCACTCGACGCTCAGGGAATTAGCAGATAAGTGTAAGTATGTGTAATTGTGTATCTTTTTCGATTTCGTGCTAACAATGGAATTGTCTACTATAACTCAAGGCAACCAGCAATTTCTATTTAATACTTTGTTTCTATCTGTTCTTGTTTGTTTGTTTGTTTGTTTGTTTGTTTGTTTGTTTGTTTGCCTTTTTTTGTGCATGTGAGCTGGATAACTGAAGATCGATGTTAAACAATGTAATTATGAAGTTGTGGCCAAGGAGAAATCGATGAAATTTTGATTGAAAATTGAATGGGAAAATTTCTAAAATAGGCATGCATTTCTAATATATGATAACATTTCTGCGCTCCTAGTACAAAGTTATAAGCGTAGCTCAGTATTAGGGACAGCACGCTTAACGGCTCTGTCCTCCTACTTTTTTCCCTCCCGTACGTCTTATGAACAAAGTTGAACTGTAAAAAGTTTTATTAGGAAAATGAATATTCAATTTGGGAATATGGACATTCTCTGGGACTAAATTGAAATATTTGCCTCATCTTCCCCTTCCCCGTTCGCCAGCAAGCTTTTTAGGAATATTGAAAGTAGGAGTTTAGAGTGCCTATTTCACGTGACAACGAAATTTCACACCATTTTTATAACTGCATATATTTGAAGAATTTAAAATGACTAATGAAATACTTTGCCAAACCATCTTAGTTCAAGAGTCTCAAACTTTCACTGGTTAGAAATATTTACTTAGACGAGCTTTCGACTGCCAGTCTGCAGTCTTCGACGGGTAGATTTAAACGAATGGTATGATATTTACAATGGTTTACACTTACAATATTTCATTTTGAGATATTTAGCAAATCAATGTTTGATATGCAAATTATCTTCATCTTATGTTGTCAAAATTATATATTGTATAATGGATTCTGAAAAACCTTTTATATTAAAGTATCTTAGGCAAAGTGTCTTAGTATAGTAATTTCCTTTACAAAATAATCATAAAAAGATGATGTAAAATTTCGTTGCCTAAGCATTTTAAATAATACTAGTAGAAATATTGAATTTTGAAGTGAAAGTTTTAATTCTGCTTCCAATCCTGATATTTTTGTAAGGTCTTATACCACTCATGCCAGATACAATAATCTTGAAAAATGAAGAAGGGCTTATTGAATACTTGATCCGCTTTCTGGAAAACAGAGAATCGCCATTGAAGCTATGTTACAGAGCTTCTCTACATGGTTGGTCTGGCCAAGATTTCCACAAACTGTGTGATGACAAAGCTGGAACAGTAGTTTTAGTCAAATTTGGAAACTGGATTTTTGGGGGATACACTGATCAAACCTGGGAAGGTAAGAATCACTGATAATGTAGTAGATGTTGTTTGTCATATGATTTGCCACGGGTATTTTTATCCTGTATAGGTTCAGGCTACAAGGCGTCGAAAGCTTCATTTTTATTTTCATTACGAAACCCAAACAACATGCAACCATTCAAATGTCCAGCGAAAAATGGTGCCAAAGCAATTTACTGTTCTTCTCCCTATGGAGCAAGCTTTGGATCAAGTTATGACCTGTGCATCGAGAATAACTCGTCGACACGTAGCAACGATGGTCATTCATACCAACCTCCACATGGTTATGAATATGATAGTCCCCAAACCAAGGCGTTGTTTGCCGGTACCTACCAATTTCAACCCACAGAAATTGAAGTATATTACTGAATAATTACATATTTCTGCTAAGAACATCAGTCCCAAGTAATTACTGCTAAAATTCTCGTCACAATTATTGTAGATAGCGACTTACTTTTTGGTTAGTATATTTACTGAGGAAACAGCGGTGAATAGGCCCTTTACAACTGGCCTAAAAACACTTTGCATAACAACATCTGGACGCCAAGAAAAATGCTGTACTTTTGTCTTACTCCTCTATTTGCAAATCCCACAGCTATCCAGTGATTTACTGTCCTCAACTTTTTTCAGTTAGCTGCGAATTAAGAGCTTATTCCATTCATTTTAAGTTCGCAGCGATTTCTATTGAAATTTCGAGTAACGGGTTAACTTTCATTGCCTTATTATTTTTGGCATGAGTATAAAAGTATGGGTAAAACATGCAACCCAACAATTATCCGCGAGAAAAACGATCGTTTGTAGAAAGACGTAATTCGACAAAAACCATGCCGAAACGAAACAAACATCGCCAATTTTAAGAGTGAACAGAGCGGCAGAATTTTAGGCATTGGTTAGTTTAATATTTCTCAATGTCGCACCGAACGTTTTTGGTGTTTTGAATGTTTAGGGCACATTTTCTGAACATTATTGAAAAATAAAAGATCGCTCTAATTTGATGGATTTTGCATGATATGTTAATATTTCTTGTCATTATTTGCCAATATTCAGTGCATTATATTAAGTCCTGAGAAACGTCGATTAATATGGCTAATCACGCACATTTACTTTTAAGTCTATTCAGCTGCATGTTTTATTTTTATTTATTTATAAGATTCGCCAGACCATACAAACATACATTAGTAGGGCTGCTAAGAGTGAAAATCGTTCAAATCGTGATCACATTCTGAAACTTGGCACAGATACTTATTAGGATGTGCGTAGTACGAAATGGAAGGGTTGCCCAAAATTTGAGCAGGGTAAAGTGTCCGTTCCGGCCTTCAAAATGGCCGACAATTGGGATTTCAGACTATATCAAGATATTAGCCCATTTCGAAGTTAAAAATACGTCTGTACAATCTCCAATGTATTTATACTTTAGTTTTATACTGTACATTCTCGCTGGATAAAACAAATCTACAAAAATACATCAAATACTGCATAAACTACTCGTGCATATTTTAGGGTAAGCAACAATAATTTCGAACAAATGAGAATTTCACGCTGATACATGACATCTATCGTCTAAATCCAAAATAAAAAATCTCTAACCTACCTTTGACATTGAAAAATTATTTCTATATGTCAGAAGTGGTTTTTTTTTTCGTTTATGACTCCATATAATCAGGGCTCCAAATGAGCCCTGTTAAGACTGGAAACCCAATTTTCAGACGATTTCAAAAGTAGGCAATTTTTTTATTAAATTTTCTAAAGTAGGTAAACAGCCATGTATGAACTAGGCTAATAAATGAGATTGGATTTAACTTGGAATAGTTGGGATAAACTGTAAAATGGGCATTCACAGAGCGTGAGTAAGTCACTTTATAGCGCCTTGGCCCCCGCCAGACAGCGGTAAATTGTTTTGACCTCAAAAGGTCAAAGCACTATATCACATTTCGTTGTTATTACTCTGTAATGTTATCGTCTGTCAATCCATCGTCTACAATGACATCATAGCCTACTTTCTTTCGGGTAAGAAAGCTGGGAACTACCTACTTTTTGTAAAGTAGGTAGTTCTCAGGCACCTGCGCACTATAAAGTAGGTAGTTTTTAGGCTTCTGCGCCACAAAAAGTAGGTAGTTATCAGTCTTCTTTTAATATTTAACTCTTCTGCCATCGTAAGAACCCACATTGTAAGCATGCCTTACATTCCAAATGTCCAGCGACAACAATTAAGTATAAATAATATAGTTTCATCACGTTTCTTGCTGCTGCGTAACGCCACAAAGATAAATAGCGAGTTAGCTAACGAGAAGAGTTACCACCAAGCGTCAAGCCATGACTTATGAGCTTGTTCTGTGCGCAGAATGATGCGATCACGCGTAAAATGTTAATATCTGCAGTACAAATGTTACTACACTCAAAATTATTTGGTATCCTATATATTCGGCAGCAAAGAACTCATGTGTCATACTGTAAATTCATGTTTTACTGTCGTAGAAAATAAGAGTAAATTACGTTTTAATTTAATTTTTTGTCTCGTTCGAGAGTTTCTACTACTGAATGAAGCTTCATTGCGTCATTTCAAAGTGCGCTGTGCATCATACTGGGCGTATTGCTGAGTAACTACATAACGTCATTTTCTATATTAAAAGGAAAAGATGACGACTCAACCGCCGTTAAATATGATGTCATTGTAGTAAATAGCGGCTATAAAAACGATAAAAATTACAAGTTTACTCAGTCTTATGTGTGCAAGTGAGAAAAAAGTATAAAAGAAGATTTTAATTTAAAAGTCATGCTTAGAGCGAGGAACTACCGATCTAACATCAGAAGATGTCCTCTAATGAATTGTAGGACATTTATAGTAGGCCATCAGATCCAAAACTAGGTTGTCACCCGGGAACCCCAGGCACAAGAAAAAGTCCCTTTGGAGCCCTGATATAATGACAATATATCGATGGCCACAAATGTTGGTCTTCGTCGCCATTTTGAATTTAAGTTTTTAGAGATACAAATATCCCTCAAAGTCCCGAAGTGCTCCGAACCGTCCCGCTGCCTAAATTCCAAGTTCAACAAGACAAAAAGCGCGCGAAAGCCTGTAAATGGTAAGTTTTTTATGATAAAAATTCTGTTTTAATAATTTTTTTATAAAAAAAATTTTCTGCCTTTTTTAAAAGCTATAGCTTTCATAGCATCAATCGTATTACAGCCCACAGGCTCAGAGGAAAATGTGTTCTCGGCTTGAAAGAATGTTTGGAAACCTTTTTATTATTATTAATGGATAAACGTACAGATTGACTGCAGTTTGTTTAACTGAAAAAAATTAATTACGAGTTTTAATATTGATTATGAAGATTTAACTTCTAATTTAACTTCTAATATATACATTTATAAAGTCGTTTTGCACGTGTTTTAAATTTATGCGTGAAAAGTTTTCTTAATATTTTTACAAAGAATAGAGCTGATATTTGCAATTGTATTTATGGTGAACTTTTTGCTCTGTTTCAGTAGCTGTGACGTTTAAAGTATAGTTACATGTATTCGAGAACATATAAATAATGGATTGGAGTTTGTGTGCTCTGTGCCAACTCGATGGCAATAATCTCATTGTACCATCTGCAAATTTGAATCCAGCTGTATGTGGATACTCTGCATTAGCAAGGAACATAGATGCATTTATTAATGAAGGTCTTCCATTACCAAATAAGATAAATGTTGCTGTAGTAGATCTGAAAGGGGATACAAATATTGCTGATAACCTAAAAGCCAATAAAGCTCGGTGGCATAAAAGATGCCTGACAGAATTAGCACCTTCAAAGCTCAAGCGTGCATTAGATTCAGCTGCTAATAAAAAACGTAAAAAAACACTTTCTGAGGATATACCATCTTCTAAAAGAACACGTTCCAGCATAGACACAAGTACACAGTTAAAATCTTGCCTGTGTCTTTTTTGCAACGAACCAGGTGTATTCAGAGCCGAATATGCCAAGACGAAACATCCAAATGTGCACAAACGAATGAGTAAAGTTCGTACTGATAACTGTGATGATTTTGTCAGAAAAGCTGCTGCT